GTCACCTTAAAGTTATTCACAGGATATAGTGTAAAGTGGAGTGACTGTTTTGTGGAATAACGAGCCAGCCAATTTTGCGCCCAGCAACGTCACAGAATTTTCTTGGGGTATTATTGGCCAGAACACTGGGAGAAACTCCCTTCGCTATGAATGTAAGCACAACCCGATCTTCCCTGGACACTGGAGCTGAGATTCACAAGAAATGATGACGGACTTGTTGTTTGCACTGTTTGCTTATCCTCAGTGTAGGCTGATCCCAATTAGTGCAGGTAATTGGTTCTCTAATGTACTTGCATTAAATGTAGAACATTATTGTACCAAAATGTGTCACAAGGGCTTTAAAACAGTAGCTAAATGTAAAATGTTGGCAAATATCCCTGTTGATCAATCCCATCAATCCCCACAAGCGAAGTGAGATGAATGACCAATTTATGTTTTATTTTGGGGCAGAGGGAGGACAGGACTGGTAAGGCCAGTGGAAAGCTGTTTGTATTTGCACATAGAAAATCATTTGATGACCTTAACACACAATGACGTTATTGTTCAGCAGAGCTGAAAAAGTTCCAACTCTAATGGGTGGCAGGCACTGGTGACGTGTTATGGGAATTGGACAATGTTCAAGTCCTCTGGACGCTACCCTGCGTGTGGTGAGGTATATAAATGTAAGTTGTTGTTGGTGGAAGAGTTTCAGATATTTGCAGACAAATGTTTTCTACAGAATTCAGATTATGATCCAACACCAGATTAAGCAACTGAATACTTGATACAAATGCAAACAGTTACTGGTTCTTTCCAGTTCTATATGCTGCTAAAAATGGAGACTCTCGACTTCTGGAAATATACTCTGACTTCTTTGTATCCATCACAGGATGGGGGTTATCTACTCCAGCTGAATGTAAAAATCTTGAGTGGAATAACTTCATATTTCAGTAGCGTTCAGATCTCCAAATCTGTTTAGCAAAAGCCTGTACTACAACAACAACTTGCATTCATATAATGCCCTTCACCTGGGGTAGCGTCCTGGAGCGCTTTATAGGCTCTGAGTACATTTCAAATAAGATTCCAGTCCAGGTGAGCATCTCGCCATTGGTTGGTAAGATATATTTTTTTGAAAAGTGTGAACTGTTTAAAACGGCTGTGGCTGTTAGGTTCTTGCTCCGAAGTAGTCTAATACCGTAGAACACCCCTGTGCCAATATGCTTCGTTATAAAGCCGGTTCACTTGTAGGACGCTTGGGTTGTGGCATGCTATAGCACTGGTTGGGTTTTTAATGGACCCCTTTATAACAGGGCTTCACTTTATTAATCCTCTTGTTTGACCCTCAACTGTCCTTTCTACCCCACATCTGTGTCATGACCCACTCTACCTTCCCCCACCTCTGCAACATCACCCGGCCCCGCCACTGCCTCATCCCTCAGGTTGCCAAGACCCTCATACACGCATTCAAAACATCCAGTCTCGACTTCACCAACTCCCTGCTTGTCAGCCTTCCCAACTCTTCCCTCCACAAGTATTTTCTGAGTGAAGCCTTTGAATCATCCTTCTGCTATGAGGGGCAGCAACAACAACAAATTACATTTGTGTAGCGCCTTTCATGTCGGGAGGACGTCCTGCATAATTGTGCATTATTCTTATTGATTTGGATTTGTGGAAGTGAAATGGGTATCCATGGGCTATATCTTCACTAAAATCTATGTTTTGCTAATACAAAATGACTTCGCTTGAGTTTCAAAAAGCAGCTTATGATCCGTTTGAGCACCACACAACGATAAATTGTAGGAAAGAGACTTGCTCTGCAGGGATTCCTCACTGAAGCATATCTGCTTTTCAGCCACCATGTAGTTTTCCCCGTTTTTAATTACTAGTGGCTTTTGTATGGCACATTGCAATGAACTGGCCTGGGTTGCTGCACTTTTGCTTTTTGCCAGCGAGTGTGATGTGCGAACTCTTAAACGTTCCTGACTGGCAGAGTTTTGATGTAATAGTAATCCTTGCATTTGATATAGCCTTATCACAACAACAACAAAATTACATTTATAGAGTGCCTTTCACATTGGGAGGACGTCCCAAGACACTGGACAGTCAGGCGTCAGGATCCGAGCAAGGGGGAGGAGAGGGGTAGGGGTGAGGGAAGGCAGAGAAGTGGGAGGGTGACTGAAGGCACGATCGAAGAGGAGGGTCTTGAGACCGGCCTTGAAGGAGGCAAGGGAAGAGGCAAATGTTGCGGAGTTCCAGAATGTGGGGCCAGAGAGGCTGAAAGCCTGGCCACCGATGATAGAGCGGGTCAGGCGGGAGACATGGAGCAGGCTGGAGCCCGCTGAACGTAAGGAGTGGGCAGGTTGGTGGGGAGTCAGCTGGTCCGAGAGGTAGGAGGGGGCAAGGGCATGGATGGCCTTGAAAGTGAGGACAAGGATCTTGATCTCGATCCTCTGGGGGATGGGGAGCCAGTGGAGTCGGGCGAGGGTGGGAGTGATGGGGTCGCGGAGCCTGGTGCACGAGAGTATACAAGCTACAGAGTTTTGGATGATTTGCAGCTTGTGAAGGGAAGAGTTGGGAAGGCCGATGAGGAGGGAGTTTCCATAATCGAGCCTTGATGTGACAAGTGCATGGGTGAGGGTTTGGCAGCCTGAGGAGTGAGGCAGTGGCGGAGTCTGGCAATGTTGCAGAGGTGGTGGTAAGCAGTGCCGGTCATGGCGCGGATATGGGGGAGAAAGGACAGTTCAGGGTCAAACAAGACACCCGAGTTCCTGACTGGTTTAGTGAGGTTGTGTGTGCAGCCGTGTGGTGTGCAGGCGCTGGCGTGAGCCAATCAGGAGGACCTCGGTCTTGCTGACATTCAGTCAAGGGCAGAAACTTGAAGGTTAAGGTGGGAGGAGAGGCGATAGAGGAGGATTGAGTGGTCCAGAGTATCAAAGGTGGCGGAGAGGTAGAGCAGGCAGAGGGAGCCCTGGTCACACATGGTCAGGATGTCATATGTGACCTTGACCAGAGCAGTTTCTGTGCTGTGGGCAGCACGGAAACCCGTTTGGAGGGGTTCATGGAGGGAGGAGGAGGAGAGGAAAGAGCAAAGTTTGGAGACGATGGCTCTCTCAAGGACCTTAGACAGAAAAGGGAGGTGGGAGATGGGCTGGTAGCTGGATAGCTGTGATAGGTCAAGGGAGGGTTTCTTCAAGGTGGGGGTGATAGTGGCTGTTTTGAGAGGGGTAGGAACAGTGCCAGATGATAGGGAGAAGTTGATGATGTCGGCGAGTAATAGGGCAAGGAGGTGGAGCTGGGATTTAAGAAGAGGAATGGTGATGGGGTCCAGGGAGCAGGTGGTGAGCTTCATGGAGGATATGGTGGTGATGACAGAGGAGGGGGTGACAGCTTCAAAGGTGTGGAAGGAGGGATGGGTAGTGGTCAGAATGTGTTGGGGGGGCAGGTGTAGGGAGGGGGTGGAAGTTGTGAGGCTAGTGGCAGCTGAGCGGATTTCCTCAATTTTAGACTCGAGGAAGTCCAGCATTTCCTCGCAATGGAAGTTGGAGGAAAGAATCTGCGAGGCGTGGCGGGGAGGGCGGAGGAGCCGGTTGGTGGTGGAGAACAGGAGCCTGGGGCTGGGATTAAGCTGGAGTAGAAGGACGATTTGGCCGAGGCGAGAGCGGAGCGGTAGGTTTTGATGTGGTCCAGCCAGATGTGCCGGTGGACCATTTGGCCGGATTTGAGCCAAGTGCGTTCGGCTGCCCGTACCTGGCCTTGAGCGAGCACCTCTTCACGTCTTGAAGACGTCTCACATAGCCATTGATGAGCTCCTCAAAAGTCTTCATGTTTCTATCACAGAACCACTGTGTAGGATGATGTGGCCTATCTATCCCAGTGAGAGGCAACAACAACGTGCACTTACATAGCCCCCTCCACGCAAAGCGCTTAACAGAGGCGGAGCCTGACTCCGAGCCGGGTGGGTGGGGGAGGTGGTTGTAAGCACGGTCGAAGAGGAAAGTTTTCAGGCAGGACTTGAAATAGGAGGTAAGACGGAAGGATTGAGGGAAAGTGTTCCAGAGTTTTGGAGTGTAGTGGCTGAAAGCCCGACCTCTGATGGTGGGGCGGAGGGTGCGAGGGACGAGCAGGAGCCAGTGCCAGTCGAGCGGAGGCGCCGGGTGGTGGATTGGGGAGTGAGGAGGTCGGAGAGGTAGGGAGGTGCCAGGCAGTGAATGGATTTGAACACGAGTGTGATTGGGGCCCATGGTACCAATACACCTTTCTTAGTGCAGTTGATCAATTTTGCTTAAATATTCGGTTGTAACTTTCAGCTGAGATGTGGGCTGCAAGGGTCTCGCCTGACCCATGTGAAGGCACAGAACGGCTCGGGTCACAGATGTGCCCTGGATTTAAAATGTTACGATCTTTTACGCTTTGTCGAGCCTCTCACTTTCCTATTTCCTCTCACTTCTATTTCCTAAGAACTATTGACAGAACAGGGAATGAAGTCACCAAAATGCTACTGCACTGATGTTAATGTGCAGTGCAAAGTCTCTGTTGTAGCAATGTTCCAAGCGTGTGAAATATGCATTGAAAAACCACAAAACTGTATCATGATTTGATGCAGTGCCTTATCACGTCTTTGAGATTCACAAGATATACCCTAAAGTATAGTGACTGTTTTGTGGGCGAAACGCGGCAGCCAATTGCTCATAGCAGTGTACCACAACCAGCCATGGATTGAGTGACCAAATTATTATTTGGGAGGGATTATTACCCACAGAAAAGCAATTCACCAATCGACTAACCAATAAGCTACAGAAATTCACAAATATCCCAGGATGTTCCCCGCACACCCACACAGTACTTCCAAAAAGTACCAGACAGATTATGCTCTCCCTTCTAGGTTCAATATCTTCTGCGACGATTTTTATTTTGGAAAAAAAAGGCTGTGAAGCTGAGACTTCATCAAAATCAAATCCTCTTCTGGCAAAAACAAAAACTGTAGCATCATACTCACTGACGTTTTGTGTTTTTTCATGCAGAATCCTGGTGGAATAGTGAACAAATGAAATGGCAGAAAATGGTAGAGAATACGATTCGCAGCATCACCGTCCGAGAGCGCTGAAGGAACAGCACAACGGCAAATTCACAGGTCAGACAGACGCCCTGCGAGAAACTGATTCGAAGAACTGTGACTTACTTTGTTGTGTAATAAGTCACAAGTCCGCTCCCTCCGCTCAGTGGACTCCAGCCTGCTCCATGTCCCCCGCCCATCCCTTCCCACCATTGGGTGGTCGGAACTTCAGCCTCTCTGCTCCCACTTTCTGGAACTCCATCCCACAGTGCTTTCCCCTCACCCCCTCCCTTGCTTCCTGCAAGGTCCAGCTCAAGACCCTCCTCTTTGACCGCGCCTTTGGTCACCCTCCTACCCCTCTGTCCGTTGCTCCAAGAGGCATTGACACATTCCACTATCCTGTGGAATTTTGTTAAATGGTCGTATATTCAGATCCTAATTATAAAAATTGGAAATTCCAAACGTATTCTGTTTGTGTTCTTGGCAGATTAAACTGGATTTGGTGTTCAAAATGACATTTGGGGGCATAATGTTTAATTCAAAATGAATTTTCTTTGGGCAGTACAGTTTGTACCCAATTGTTGAATTATATTTGTCTTCAGACTTGTTGTCACTGAATGAAAGGAAGTTGAGGGATCGAGAGGAGAGGGAGACCATTGTTCTCTGGAGGCGGCCCATTATTACCCTTCAGTATTTCTTTCTGGAAACCATTATAGATTTGAAAGAATGGGCGTTAAGGTAAGAAATCGGCATCTTGGCAAAAAGACTTGTTTCCTCCCAGCTCGTTCTACCATTCCATCTTTATAAAGTGCTTTGAGATGTATTTGCTCTGTGAAAAGCACAATGTACGTGCAAGTTCTCCCAGTGTCCTAGTCAACAATATCTCCACTGTTTGTTTGACATTGCTGTGTGCAAAATTGTGGCAGTTGAATTTGCCCACAAAACAGGATATTGTACTTTATATCCTGTGATGTCCTGATGTGAAAGACGCTACACCAAATGTAAGGATTATTATTAACTGGTGCTCATACTTAATAAAACAGGAATTCAAGGCACCTTGAGTTCCCTTTATGACAGTCTAGTTATACCTTTGCTTACACTGTATACTTTTGATCTGCAAACAATGACTTTACTGTAGGAGTAAATATCTGGTGTCAGTAAACTGCATTTTTTGGTTATTTGGAGAGGTCAGGCTGACAGTGGAATGATTACCTAAATTGTGACATTGAAACTTAGTTTTTTTTTTCTCTTCCGCAATTTCGGAGTGCAATTCAACAATTTATATTTAAGAGAAACTTCTTCAAGCTCTTTACAGATGATGTTCAGCCTTAAACACAACTAGTTCTCTCAAGGTCTGTTCTCTAACCATTTTTGATGCATCTCCTGTGTAAAGGGATAGGAAGAGGGTGTGTTTTTGCAGCAAGACACTAGAACAGGGATTCAGTGCCAAATAAACTTTGCGGAGATGTCTATTTCTTTTGTATATTCATGCCAATTGCTTCTAGAAACGTTAAATATATCCCTGCTGGCTGTCGTTAGTTTTACTTTGTATTGTGTAGAATGAGGAAGGAACTGCTGACACTGGCCTGGAAACCTGTATCTGATTCCCTAACGCCTTTGTTTGAGGAAGTGCACAGCAAACCACAGGGAAGAAGGGGAGAGGCATGAGCCAAATTTTGCCCACAGCATTGCTCTTATACTGATCCTTGCAGTCAGTTTTGCTGCGGTTGATTTACATGATTGCATGTGCACAGTGTCTCTTTTCCATCAAGCCTTAACAGATAATAATAATAATCCTTGAATTTGATACAGCCCCTTATCACGTCCTTGAGACGTCTCAAAGCGCTTTACAGAATATACTGTAAAGTGAATTGACTGTATATTTTGTGCGCGAAACGGGACAGCCAATTGTGCACAGCAGCGTCCCCACAAACAGTCGTGGATTGAAGTGAACAATTTATTATTGGTTTTTTTCTTGAGGGATTATTATCCGGTGTGTGGATCAGGGAAACTTGCCCAAGGTTTTGGGAATTGAACCCAGGTCTCTTACTTGCGAGGCGAGTGCTCAAACTACTGAGCTACAGGGGCTTAGTGACATATTCCCTGTTGTACTGATTCGCGCTTCATAATCGTATACATAGGTTGATGCAGCTCAGGTGGTGCTTTAATCTAGTATAATTTTTTTGTTGGGGGTGGTGGGGGAGGGCGCGAGAATTGGTGTGCACACTATTCATACATTCTGGCTGTCCACACTTAAGTGAGGCTGTGGTTGACTGATACAATAGACACAGTTGGTGCTGGTCGTAGCCGAGCACTACAAAGACTGGTACTTACACCTGCTACTGTTCCTGGTGACCTGCCGCTCACTGTACATGAGACCACTGGTTGTTTGGTTGTTTAGCCCTAAGGAAAAGTGCAAAGAGATCATTAAGCTGTGCAGCACGCAGTCTTTTTGTTGTCTATCTGGACCTTTCCCATCCTCTGACTTGAACCAAATTATCTCTTAAACACGATCTGATCCCAGAAGCCATTAAATAGTCCCTCCAAAAAAAAAAATTGGTCGATCAGTTCACGACTGTTTGTGGGGATGTGGTCGTGCGCAATTGGCTGCTGTGTTTCGCCCACAAAATATACAGTCAATTCACTTCATAGTATATTCTGTGAAGACGCCTCGAAGACGTGATTAAGTACTAAATCAAATATTATTATTTAGATGACAAAATCACGATGTTTGAAACTTAACCAGATGTATTAGTCTACAGTTAGAGTCCATCTCCAGAAGACTGTTCCCAACTTCTTAAAGTTTAAAAAGTTTAGGAGGAAAGATACTGAATATCAGACTGCAACTAGTCTGTAAACCACTTATCGCTGCGCGTTTTGTCAGCAGTTCTTTATCGGAGCAAAGTTCAATGTTGGCCTGGCGTGTCATGTGGTTAGGGCAAGAGATTAAGTGCAGAATAGGAGAAGGTTGCAAATACTTTGTCAGAGAGTTGAGATAAAGGACGCATCGTTCCACGTTAGTGTGTTGGAGATTAATATTACGCCCTTTGCCCTGTGTGTAATGGAAGGAGTGCGGGTCAAGGATGTTCACGCTACTTTGTGAGGAATGAAGAAAATATTACACCAATGTTTCGCCCAGAAAATATACAGTCAATTCACCTTACAGTATATCCTGTGAAGCGCTTTGAGATGCCTCAAAGATGTGATAAGGTGCTATATCAAATTCAAGGATTATTATTACACAGTGCCTCAGGGAAGTGCATTGTGTGAGTGTGTGTGTGTGTGCGTGCACGCACGTGGTTGGAACACAATATACTTTGTGACCCTTCAACTTGTTCTCCTTCCATACCCCTTCCTCCTCTCCCTCTGCCCCTCTCCCCCCCCCCCCCGCCCCCCAAAGAAGATGGAAATAATACCAGTAATAATAATAATAATAATCCTTGCATTTTTATATAGCGCTTTTCACGTCAGGAGGACGTCCCAAAGCGCTTCACAGAACACACTGTAAAATGAATTGACTGTATATTTGTGGGCGAACGCGGCAGCCAATTGCGCACAGCAATGTCCCACAAACAGTCGTAGATTCAAAATGACCAATTTATTATTGTTTTTGGTTTTGGAGGGATTATTATTAGTGTACGTGTATTAAGTTCTGGATGTATGTTTTAATGTTTCAGGCTATGGCAACGGCGAGGCCTCGTCCTGATCACCCTGATGGTTCTAGCCGTGGCCACAATATCCTATTATGTTGAAGGAACACATCAGAAGGTGAGCTGAGTGATCAGGTCAAATTCACCCCAGCAGCAAATTCACACATGTGGGGATTATATAGAGTACCTTGCACTCTTTCTCTTCCTCCTCTCTTCTCCCCTCCACCTCACTTCCCACCAAAAAAAACACAATTCTACAAGTGTCCCATTGCTGGTATCATCTAATAGAATTATTGCTACACCCTGGTTCTGATGATATCTTCTATAATGGGTCATATAACATCCTCCATTATTTATTGCCTGTTTGGTGAATTACAGACCTTAATTAACTTTCAAATGCAACACCTTGTATTAATTGTAGCAGATATGTCACCCGATCCTGATGTATAAGCAAATACACTGAATCATTTGTATTCTTACCTAATTTAATGTTGATTTCCTTAACTCCCACAGTATGTACAATTTGCGGAAAAGAAGATTATGTGGTGTACCTACTGGGTAGGCTTGGGCATCCTATCCTCTGTTGGATTGGGAACAGGTCTACACACCTTCCTGCTCTACTTGGTGAGTCAACAATACATTTCATCTTCCATTTCGAAAGATCTTATTGGGACAATTCTTAGACTGTCCACGACAACAACGACAACTTGGATTTATATAGCCCCCTTCATGTGGAGCAGTGTTCCGCAGCACTTGACAGTGGTGGAGTCTGATGACGGGCCAGGGGGAGAGGGAGGCGGTTGGTGACCAAAAGCACGATCAAAAAGAAAGATCTTCAGGTGGGATTTGAAGTTGGGGAGGGAGGGGGCAAGGCGGAGGGATTGAGGAAGAGAGTTCCGGAGTTTCGAAGTGTAGCAGCTGAAGGCACGATCTCTGATGTGGAGCGGAGGGGACGAAGGACAAACAGGAGGCCGGAGCCTGCTGAGTGGAGGCAGCGGATGGTGGTGTGGGGGGTGAACAAATCCAATAGGTGGTGAGGTGCGTGGGCATGAAGGGATTTGAAAACAAGTGAGAGGATCTTAAAATTGCGGGTGAGTATCCGGGTGGCGGAGTTCTGAATTAATTGTATCTTGCATATGGTGTAGCTGGAGAGATCAGCGAGGAAGGCATTGGAATAATGCAGCCAGGAAGTGACGAAGGCGTGGACGAGGGTTTCGGCTGCATTGGTTTTGAGATACAGATGCAGGCGGGTAATGTGGTGGAGATGGAAAAAAGCGTTCCTGGTCAGGGAACAGATGTGTGGTAGAAAGGAAAGCTGGGGATTGAACCTGACACCTAAGTTTCGCACGGGTTTGGAGAGTCTGGGGAAGTTGAGAAGTTCAGATCCGCAGCAGAGAAGATGTTGGCAGGAGCTAAAGAGTATGGCTTCTGTCTGACATTCAGCTGCAGGAAATTTGCAGTCATCCAGGCCTTGATGTCCATCAAACAAGCTGACAGAACATCAGTGGACTGGGAGTCGCAGCTGGAGGAGAAGTAGACTTGGGTGGAAGTTGACCCCACGTCTGCGGATGACATAGTTGAGAGGGAGCATGTAGATGAGGAACCGAGGCGGCCAAGGATGGAGCCTCAAGGTACCCCGCGCAGGTGACCGGGCGTGAGTGGAGGACAACACATTTGCCGAGGTGTATTGTTGGTAGTTTATTAAGTAAGACTCGAACCGTGCGAGTGCGACCCACTAGGGTGGATGAAGGAGTAGAGGAGGATGGTGTGATCAACCGTGTTGAATGCAGCGGAGAGGTCCAGGTGTACAAAGAGGCCGAGGGAACCGTGGTGATAGAGAGCGAGGACATCATTTGCTACTTTGACGACGGCTGTCTCTGTGGGCAGGCAGAAGATGGAAGGGTTTGAGTAGGGAGTGGAGGGAGAGGTCTGAGCGAAGTTGTTCTGCAACGACACGTTCCAAAACTTTGGCCAGGAAGGGCAGGTTTAAGATGGGTCTGAAGTTTGAGGTTGGAGGGATCAAGGGTGGGGTTTTTAAGAAGAGGAGTGATGACAGTGGTTTTGAGGTGAAGTGGGACAGAGCCTGAGGAGAAAGACTGGTTGATTGGATCAACCACACTGGAATTGCTAACTTGCAGTTGGCGTTATCTTGGCAATCCTATTTTTTTTAGGTGACATTCCCAAATTTGAGAACAAGACTAATTGTGCGAAGCAGCCCTGCTAGTGAACATTTTTACTGTTGCGACCATGATAACTTCATCTGTTGTAGTTTGCAGCTTGCCCAAATCAAAGTACTTGTTGTCAGAATTTTTTACGCTATTGATCTGTCTTTTCGTTGCCTCGGTGGCATTCTTTGTAAAATAAGCCTGTATTGCTTCAGGTTTCTTCTCCTGGAGTGATTATTCATTCATCCGTTGCCAGCGGGGCTGTTCAGAAACCAGAGTTCAGAGTTTAAAATAGAAGCATTTTCTTATGTGGCAATTTCTCAACAAACCTCAGAACTCCAGCCTTGATCTCTGGACTTGACGAGCAGCGGCAACACACTATCTGCCAGGTGCACCACATGTTCTCTAAAATACTAAACCCTTTGCCTTTTACAAGCCCGTTCCATTGGGGGAACAATCAATATTCCTCGTTCCCATTGCAGATCTCACTAAACTGAACTTTCTAGGAATACATCAAAGTATATTTTGTTATCCTCCCGAACAAATCCACCTGTGTCCAGCTATTCATCGAATCATAGAAGCGTACAGCACAAAAAGTGGCCATTCGGCCCATCGAGTTTGTACCGGCTCTTTGAAAAGAGCAATGTCAATTCCACTCCCCAGCCCTTTCCCCATAGCCCTGCAAACCCGTCCTCCTCAAATACCCATCCACCGCGTTTTAAAAATTGTTACTGAATCGGCCTCCACCACCCTTTCAGGCAATGCATTCCAGATTCGAACAACTCGCTGCGTGAAAAAATTTCTTCTCACCTAATTAATTGAAAATATTTTGGGAAACGATGAACTGTACATTATTTTCTCATCCGCTTTCTCCACAAGCTCTAGCTATTCAAATAGCAACTTCCCTGAGCAGTTTCCTTGTATCACTTGTGCAATTAACTTGAGGAATCCTGTAGCTCAGTGGTTAGAGCACTCGCCTCACAGGCCAGAGGACCTGGGTTTGATTCCCGGCAGGGCGAAAAGTTGGGCAGATTTCTTTACTCCATGTGCCTCTCTGTTTACCTCGCAGTAAGTAGGAACCCGGGGGTTAGTTGATTCGCGGATCGCTTTTCTGGGGTAATATTCCTGAGTTCAATTCCAGGCAGAGGGCGAAATCTTGGGCAAGTTTCCTTACTCCACACAGAGCCTAATAATAATCCCTCCAAAACCAAAAACAATAATAAATTGGTCATTTTCAATCTACGACTGTTTGTGGGACATTGCTGTGCGCAATTGGCTGCCGCGTTCGCCCACAAATATACAGTTAATTCACTTAATTAATTAAATTAATTAATTAATTAATTAAATGCAAGGATTATTATTATTATTAATAATCCCTTCCAAAAGAATAAATAATAATAATTTGGTAACTCAATCCACAACTATTTGTGGGACGCTGCTGTGCGCAATTGGCTGCCGTGTTTCACCCAGAAAATATACAGTTAGTTCACTTTACAGTATATTCTGTGAAGCGCTTTGAGACGTCTCGAAGACATGATAAGGCGCTGTATCAAATGCAAGGATTATTATCATATATTAATGTTACTGAACAGTGGCATTGAATTATAGTGATTCAATCAAGTGGTTCAAATGACATCCTAAACTCATAGTTAATGTGTCCTTGCTGTCAAACCCCAAGGTTGGATTATTGCCTTTTGCTCCTTTGGCATATTGCCACTGAGTACGTGGTTTCCATCCGAGCTTTGGGACTTTAGCTCATGGTCCAGGCTGACACTCCAGTGCTATACTGGGGAAGTCCTTGCCTCGCAAGTGAGAGGACCTGGGTTTGATTCCCGGCAGAGCAAAGTGCTACATTATCGCCATATTGTCAGATGAGACATTAAACTGAGATCCTGTCTGCTTGTATGATTGTATGTTAAAAGATCCCAGAGTGTTCTGAAAGTGAAAGGAGTCATTCACTTCATGATTGTCCATGGAATGAGCTGCTGTGTTTCTAATAATAATAGTAATAATCCTTGTATTTGGTACAGCGCCTTATCATGCTGTTGAGACATCATAAAAGCGTTTCACAGAATACACTGTAAAGTGGATTCACAGTATATTTTGTGGGCGAAGCAAATAGTCTATTAAACAGTTATTGGACTTCACAGCATTTTCCTATGAATTGCTTTGAAAAATTTTGAACGTTTGATACCAGAGCCACAATATCAAATGCAAGGATTAGAAATTTATAGCATTGAAAAAGCCTATTCAGCCCATCATGATTATTATTTACTCTGTGTTCCATCGGATTTTAAGATTGCTTATTGATTTTCCTAACTGCCTTCAAGATAAATTAATAAGGTGTTTTTCTGGGGGTTTTTTTCCCCCAGAAAAGAGAGAAATTGCTGTAAAAATCCTGCTGTGACCGAGACCTGCTTAGTTCCATTGATATTCTAATGAGTTTACTGCAAAAGACTGCAACATCCACTTGTTGTTTAATGCTACTGACTGAGCTCAAGCCATTGATTCCACGTTGCTGAATACCAGGTGGTATGCTGTCTGTCTGAGGACAAATCGAGGTCACTTAGTGCTTTAATTTGTAAGCAAAGGGTCTTCTTGTTATGCTGTGATGACTGCACAGATCCGTAGATTGTGCACAACACTGTACATTTGATCTGATGGAATGAAAGGCGCAGCTGGTGTTACTCTGGTACTAGTCAACGCGGCTGCTTCTCAGTTCTGAGGTCACGAGAATTTTAAATTAGGTTTCCGGTTCCCTGAGTGTTCGCGCAGGAAAGGGTATGAGTCAGGAAACTCGTGGTTATAACAGTAGTGTACATCTTGTGGTTGAACCAGCTTAGAGTGCTGTTCAGCATTTATTTTAACGTTACTTTAAAGGTTGTGAGTTCAAGTCCCATGTTAGTTTAGACTTGGAACTCACTCCCTTTTCTTTTCAAATTATGTCATCGGATCTTTAATGGCCACTTGAACAGGCTGTCGGGACTTTGTTTAAGTGTCTCATCCGATAGACTGTACCTCCAACAGTGCAACATATCCCCAACATTGCATTTGGGATTCGAGTATAGGCTTTATACTTTCCAAGTCCCAACTTGGAGCTTGAATACACTAGCTTTCCACCACTTTCTGACTCGGAGGCGAGATTGCTCTCGATCGAGCCAGCCTGAGTAGATTTGGGAGCGGCGAGAGGAAAAAATGAGAGAGTATAACCATAAATATTTTTTTTCTGGTTGGAAAACGTACAGAAACGTTAGGTTTTTACCTATTTCAGATCCGGCTGTTTCAACATTGATGCCCGGCTCAATGAGGTGCTGCATCTGTAGTGTCCATATAAGGCCAGCAGGTGGCGATCAAGTCTATTCGTGGGTTGCAATTCCACCCACAGTGTCCCCCACACGGTCATGGATTGAGTGACCAAATTTATATCAATTGGCACAATAAAAACTGACCTGCATTTTC